AGGAGGAGAGGCAGAAGCAGACTCCCCACTGAGCAGGGAGCCCGACCCAGGGCTCGATCCCAGGACTCCAGGATCATGACCTGAGCCGAAGGCAGATGCTTAACTGACTGAGCCACCCAGGCACCCCTACAATCTTAACAACATTAAGTTTTCCAGTCCGTGAACATGGATTGTCTTTCCATTTATTTAGGTATTTAATTTCTTTCACACTGTTTTGTAGTTTTCAGTATTCAAGTCTTTCACTTTCTTGGTTAAATTTCTTCTTTAAATTGTATTCTTTAATATGCTGTGATAAGAGGAATTCTCTTACTTTCCTTTATGGGTTGTTCATTGCTGGTGTACAGAAATACAACTGATTTTGCAGGTTCATTTTGGATCCTGCAACTTTGCTGAATATATTTATTAGCTCTAGTAGTCATTTTTGTAGATTCTTTCAGATTTTCTACATGTAGGATCATGTGTTCTGTGAACAGAGATAGTTTTACTTTCTCTCCAGTTAAGATGCCTTGTATTCCTTTTCCTTATCTAATTACTCTTGCTGGAACTTCCAGTGCAATGCTGAATAACAGTGGTGAAAGTGGGCATCCTTGTCTTGTTCCTGATCTTAAAGGGAAAGCTTTCAGACTTTAGCACTGAGTATGGTGTTAACTGTAGATTTTCCATAAATGCCCTTTATGATATTGATGAAGTTCCCTCACTCCTAGTTTTCCAAGTGTTTCTGTCATGAAAATGTGTTGGCTTTTGTCAAATGCCCTTTCTATGTCAACTGAGATGATCATATGTTGGGGTTTTTTTCTGTAATTTTATTAATGTTTATTATGTTGATTGACTTTTTAAAAAATATTTTATTTATTTATTTATTTGAGAGAGAGAGAGCACAAGCAAGAGAGCACAAGCAAGTTGCCCATCGAGCAAGGAGCTGGATATGAGGCTCAATCCCAGGACCCACGAGATCAGGACCTGGCCAAAGGCAGCCACTTAACAGACTGAGCCACCCAGGAGCCCCTAGATTGGTCTTCTTTCCCTAGTTTCTTAAGGTGCCAAGTTAGGTTATTGATTTGGGATCTTTATGCTCTTTTAATGTAGACATTTACTGATATAAATTTCCCTCTGAGGACTACTTTCATAATACCCATAAGTTTTGGTGTGTTGTATTCTCATTTTCATTAATCACACGTATTTTCTAAACTCTCTGGTGATTGCTTTTTTGACTCATTGATTGTTCCAAAGTGTGTTGTTCAATTTCCAAGTATTTGTTAATTTTTCACTTTCCTTTCTGTTATTGATTTCTACTTTCACTCAATTGTGGTTAGAGAAGACACTTTGTATAATTTCACTCTTTTAAATTTATTAAAATGTGTTTTGTGGCTTAACATATGGTCTATTATGGTGAATGTTCCCCGTGCACTTGAGAAAAATGTGTATTCTGCTGTTGCTGGGTGGAGTGTTCTACAGGTGTCTGTTAAGACTAGTTGGTTTATAGACTGTTACAGTCCTTTACTGCTTTACTCTTTCTAGATGTTCTATCTGTTATTGAAAGTGGTTATCAAAGTCTCCAACTATTATTATAAAACTGTTTCTCCCATAAATTCTATCAATGTTCATTTCATACAATTCAGGGTGCTCTTGCTTGGTGTGTATGTTTGTAATGTGATATTTTCTTAATGAATTGACACTCTTAGCAGTATATAATACTCATATTTGGGGCTCCTGGGTGGCTCAGTTGGTTAAGCGGCTGCCTTCGGCTCAGGTCATGATCCCGGGGTCCTGGGATCGAGCCCCACGTCCGGCTCCCTGCTCAGCGGAGAGCCTGCTTCTCCCGCTCCCTCTGCCTGCCACTCTGCCTACTTGTGCTCTCTCTCTATCTCTCTGTCAAATAAATAAATAAAATCTTTAAAAAAAATACTCATCTTTGTTTCTTGTAACAGTTTTTGACTTACAGTCCATTTTTTTTTCCTGATATTTTCTGATATTTTTCAGATAGGTTTGATATAGCCAGCCAGCTCTCTTTTGGTTACCATTTGCTGAAATATTTTTTTTTCCTTTCACTTTCAACCAATTTGTGTCTTTGAATCTAAAGTGAGTCTTTTGTAAATAGCATATAGTAGATTATATGTTTTAAAGCATTCTGCCAATCTCTGCCTTTTGATTGGTGTACAAGTGCTGGCAACCTGACTTCATCTCTGGCCCTCCATCTTGTTCTCCCCGCTGGTGCACAGATGGTGCCCCTTTAGGTAACTACCCTGGGGCCTCACCACCATGTCCCTTACTCCATAAAAGCTGCAGATGAAGGTCCAGAGAAGGAGGCGGGAAATGGGCGAGGGATTGCTGCATAATACTGCCTGGAGCGTCTGCCCTCCAGACCACCCCTGGCAGGCAGTTACCCTGAACAAAACTGTGTAAGTGGTATGGAGAGGCTTGCTGCAATTTTCAGTATAAAAGTGCCTTCTTGGTCTGGAGGATACATTACCAACTCTCTTCACTTTCTAACAATTAGAGAGCTTAATCTATTTACATTTATAGTAGTTCCTGATAAGGAAGGCCTAACCTACACCATTTTTTTGTTTGTTTTCTGTATGTCTTACACCTTTTTCCCCTCCATTTTTTTCCATTACTGACTTCTTATGGGTATAACTGATTTTTTTGTAGCATACCATTTTGATTCCCTTTTCATTTATTTTTTGTGTATATATTTTTGAATATTGTCTTAGTGTTTACTGTGGGGGCTACAATTAACATCCTAAATTTTTAACAGTCTAGTTTGAATTGGTACCAACTTAGGTCCAACAGCATATAAGAACTCTGTTCCTATAAGCTCCAACCTCCCCTCTTCTGTTGCTATAAATGACATCTTTATATGTGGTGTGCCCATTAAGACAGATTTGTAATTATTGTTTTATACATTTGTCTTTTAAATTCTGTAGGAAACAAAAAAAAGAGAGAGAGAGAGAAAGACTACAACAAAAAAGACATAGGACTAGCTTTTATATTTTCCCATGTAGGTACCTGAAGTTTTTTATTTCTTTGTATGGCTTTGAGTTACTATCTAGTGTCTTTTCATTTCAGCCCAGAAGGACTGCCTTTAGCATTTCTTGTAGGGCAGGTCTGCTAACAACATATTCCCATAGCTTTTGTTTATCTGGGAATGTCTTAATTTCTCCATCTTTGAAGGACAATTTTGTCAGATATGGAAGTCTTGGTTGACATTTTTTTCCTTTCAGCACTTTTCTCTGGCCTCCACAATTTCTGGTGATACATCTGCTATTGACTCACTGAGTATTCCTTGTATGTGACAAGTCACTTTTCTCTTGCCATTCTCAAGATTCCCTCTTTGTGTTTGCCTTTTGACAACTTGACTATGATGTTTCTTGTAATGGATCTTTTTGCATGTATCCTTCATGTAGTTCATTGAGCTTCCTGAATGTGTAGATTTGTATCTTTTATCAAATTTGGTAAGTTTTCAGCCATTATTTATCCAAATATTCTTTCTGTTTCTTCCTCTCTCCTCTCCTGCAATTCCCATTAAGTGCATGTTGGCATACTTTATGGTACCCCACATCTCTTAGGCTCTATTTGTTTATTTTTATTCTTTTTTCTTTCTGTTTTTCAGGCTGAATAATTTCAATGGGCTTATCTTAAGGTTTGTTGACTCTTCTGCTTGCTCAAATCTGCGATTGAAGCCTTCTAGTGAGTTTTTCATTTTACTTACTGCACTTTTAGCTCCAGAACTTCTGTTTGGTTCCTTTTTATAATTTCCCTTTATTGATATTCTCTTTTTGTTCAAATATTGTTGTCCTGGATTCCTTTAGCTCTTTGCCCGTGATTTCCTTTAGCAATTTGAGTATATTTAAGACAGTTCAAAAAAACAGTTAAATTTAAGTCTTTGTCTAGTAAGTACAATGTCTTTACCTCCTCAGGGAGAGTTTCTGTTAATTCTATGAGTGGGATATATTTTCTTGTTCCTTTACATGCTTCATCATTTTTTGTTGAAAGTTACACTTTGAATTTTATAATGTGGTAACTCTGGAAATCAGAATTTTTTTTGCTCTCCTCGGAGAGGAGAAATTCTTTGCAAGTAAGGTTTGTTCTACTCCTTCTGGAACCAGGGACTAGAGTCCTACACTGGGAACATTTCTTGCTTGCCATAGGATGTAGCTCTTTGGTGACTTTTCTAAGCTATTTTTGTAAAGTCTGTATTCTTAGTCATGTATGGCCTCTGAAGTCTGTTTCTTTATCTTGTGTTCAATTAGTATTTTAACAGAGATTTCCTTGAATACCAGGAGCCCTACCCCCACCCCCAGGGAAAAACAAAACCAAGCAGAAAGGGGAGAGAACGAACAAATAAAAGAAAAAAATTATCTCCCAGTTTTTGCAACATACTCTGTGTTGGAGCATTTCCTAAATGTTTAGCCAGACCATTTACATCTCTGCTTTAAGCCTTCACTTCTTCTTTGTATTAACCAAGAGATCAGCCAGAGACAAAAGCTTAAAGTCTTCTCAGGTCTTTTCTGGCATGTGTTCTGCCTTGGGCATGTACGTGACTTTCTAAATTCCCAGTATGCAAGGGTCCTTTTGAATGCCCTTAATTTCCCAAAGAAACTCTCTCCCCAGGTTTTCCACCCCGGATTTTGGCCCTGTATTGTATACTTCAACCATAGTCATTTGCCCCACCTCAATGCTGGTAATCGATTTGCCTTACAATATTTTCAAGAAATGTCCACCACTTTTCTAACCTGAGCAAGTTACAGGTTAGGCAAAACAAAAACAAAGCACCTTGTGTCAGTCCTTCAGACAGGTTAGACTAGACAAACACAATTCTTTGCAAGTAAGGTTTGTTTTACTCCTTCTGGAACCAGGGACTAGAGTCCTACATGGGAACATGACCTACAATCTTCAAGCCTATAGATATACCACAGAGGTGGCTGAGACAAGGGCAAATGAAAACATCACAAATCTTTTCTACCAATTTGAGGTTACATTTTTCTTTTTTTTTTCTTTATTTCAGATATTTTTTATTTCTTCAAATTTAGCAGGAGTGACTGAAATAAAAAAATATAATTGAGTCCCATCATCATGGAAATGGCTTTAAGAGAAAACTGGTCATATGAATATTATTGCTTCCCGTTTTCAACCAGTGGAATAGTTACCATTGATAAATAGACAGCCAACAGTCTGTCAAGAATGCTCAAGATATGTTATATAATACAACATGCCTGTTCACGGGGGCAGGGGGGAAAGACTAGGAAATAACTTATGTGAACTTCTTGATTTCATCATACAAGACCAGCACAAAAGCACCACCCATGCCTCTGAGAACATTGGATCACGCCCCCTTGAAAAACGCTTTGGCTCCTTCATCACGAGCGACCTTCTTCCAGCAGTCTACTGTGCCTGTGCACGTGATATCAGTTCCTTTGCGCCCTGACCGCATCATCATTCAGGAGCGAACAGTGTCAAACGGGTAGGACGTCAACCCGGCAACCCCTGTGACGGATTGGGTGATCATCCAGCTGATGAAGATGTGAGTATTCTTGGGATCTGGAAGCATCCCCTTTGTGGTGTCATAGATACCAAAGTAGGCAGCTCAGTAGATGATGATGCCCTGCACAGACACATTAAAGCCTTGGTACAAGCCCTTAATCCCATCAGATTTGTAGATCTTAACCAGGCAGTCACCGAGGACTCTGAATTCCCTTTCAGCTCCAGCTTTGCCCACATTGGCTGCTAGCCAGGTATGGGCAAAATAAAGAGGATACACAAAACACAAGGACGTGGCCCCAGCAGCACCACCTGATGCCAGATTCCCAGCAAAGTAGCGCCAAAACTGGGTTCTCTTGTCCACACCACCCAGGAAGATCTGCTTGTATTTATCTTTGAAGGCGAAGTTGAGAGCCTGGGTGGGGAAGTATCTGATGACATTGTCCGGGTTACCACGCCAGAAGGACAGGACTCCCTGCTCCTTGGGGATGCGAACCACACAGTCTATAATGCCCTTGTATTGCTTATCTGTGGTGATTTGCTTGCTGGCATGCTGCACCTGCAGCAGCAGCTTGACCCGCTCGATGGGCGCTACCGCCATCTTGGAGATGGCCGCGGCCACTCCACCCACCAAGAAGTCCTTGGAGAAGGACACAGCAGCATCCGTCATGAGGTTACCTTTTTCTTGATATAAGGTTCACTTGGATCCTGTAAATCTTTGCTTTCCAGAGTTAACAAAGTTGATTCTAAAATTTTGTGCTTAATTTTCTGATGTCTCTGTGGAGCCCTGGGTCCTTGGAGCTGCCTGCTCCACAATTCCCACTGACATGTGGCAGCTATACTTTTGCCCACCTCTTTATATATAATCTTCATCATTCACATTGTTTTGGGTACAACTCTTGCCACGGCATAGAGTTGTGTGTTGCTTTTAATAGTCATTTGAGCCCATTTCCATGTTTTGATATGAGAGATGTTTTGTCTCAGTTATTTTATATTACTTTATGTTTAATGTTTGTATGAATGTTATGTGTGTGTATGCATATTTCTGTATATGTTCATTTCATTACGTGGTCTGCTTTCTTTGTTCATTTTTGTTGTTGTGGTTCTCTTTGTGTTTAGGAAGGCTTCCATATCTTGTTCCTTTTGCATGCATACCTTTTTTTTTCAAAGATTTTATTTATTTATTTGACGGAGAGATAGAGATAGAGCACAAGTAGGCAGAGAGGCAGGCAGAGGGAGAGAGAGAAGCAGGCTCTCCGCTGAGCAGGGAGCCTGATGCAGGGCTCGATCCCACGACCCCAGGATCATGACCCAAGCCTAAGGCAACCAGCTAGGCCACCCAGGCGCCCCTGCATGCATATCTTTATGTAATACTCTTAGTTCTTTCTTTTTGGTTCCCTACTAGGAATAACAATTTAATTAGCTTGTGTCATCCTTGCCCTGCTGACCCTCTCTTCTGCAACATCCAGTTTAATCAGTAATACATTTCTTTGTTTTTACCTTTTTATACTAAAAATACTTAAGCTTACATTACTATAAATGATGTCCTTTGTTCCCAGCTATTTCACATGAGACTGTCACTATGCTTATTTTACTCTCCACTTTAACTCCCATTTTTGCTAGTTTTATCATTTAAACATTGTTGGAATGTATAATGTTAACCCCTATTCCCACCTTTGTTTTAATTATTATAGTTTTTTAATACTTTTTAGTATTTTGTAGATTTAAGATAACATTTTCTAAGTAACCTTAGTTATTCTTGCAAATTTTCTTTCCATATGAATTTTAGAATCAGTTTCTTAGGTTCTAAGAAAAACTCTGTAGGCAAGTTGCTTGGAATTGTATTGAATCTTGGATAAATTGGCTGGAATTTACCCACATATATCTTTGCATATTTGTTGTTAGTCTTACCACTAGGTATGGTTTTTGTTGCTATTGTAAATTACTTAGAAAACCATGATCTCTCCATTAATCTATTTCTTATTTTTTCCATAACATCAACAGATACCCTGACCTTCACTTGGTCTTCTTGCTCCTCTCTGCACTTGCCTCCAAGTGGTTACCTATGTATGCCCTGTCCATTCGGTGTAGCTCACACACTAAATGCCGCAGACACCATATGTCTCATCACACTGAACACTTGCCCTGTCAATGCTGGCCAGTCCTCACACTAATCAAGCTGTTTTTAGGGCCAGGTTATACTTTTCAGTCTCTTCTGATCCTCGTGTTTTAATAAGTGCCCCTGTTTTAGGCTGTGGTTTTGGTCTAGGCAGGTATTAATGGGACCCTGAGCTGGCAGTGGAGATGGGATCAAGACATGAAACAATATCGAAGGAGAACTTCCAGCCCATGACAAATGGTGAAATGTAGGAAGCAAGGAAGGGAGAAGCACTATGATTTTCCTCTTCCTTCAGACTCTTGGGGTTGTGTGCCAGAGGGCTTTTGCTTTCCACTTCATGCTCTCAAGGTAGGAAGGCCAAAAACTCACCTCAGAAGTGAACACCATCTCCCTCAATTCCCTGTCCTTCCCACAGCTCTCCAACTCCACCCTGTTCTGCATTGACAGTCCCAACATCCCTTGGGTTCTCTGGCTGTTTGCTGCCTTCTAACAATGAGATCCTATGCCTGATACACTGTGGATGCCCCATGAATGTTATGTGACCAAATGAATGATGACTATTGCATGTTAATGTCTTTGTAACCTCTAGGACAGGTCAAGATGGTACAATTGTGCTCAAAACATATTTGGCACTAGTGTGGCTAATAAACCCATACATTAGAGCTGAATGTGTTGAATCGATGGCAGGCCAGGCTCTCTCTTGCCTCTAGGCCTTTGTGTGTGCAAATTTCTCAGCTAGAAAAATTTCTGCCCTCAGCCCCTCCTTGGGTTGCTAACATTTACACTCCTCGAGGAGACCTTCTCTGATGAGCCCCTTCGTTCCTTCCTTCCTAAGTTTTATTTTTTTAGTAATCTCTATAGCCAATGTGAGGCTCAAACTCACAACCCATGAGATCAAGAGTTGCATGTTCTTTCCAACTGAGTCAGCAAGGAACCCTATTTTTTTTTTTTTAAGTAAGTTCTATAGCCCAACATCAGGCTTGAACTCATGACCCTGAGATCAAGAGTCACATGCTCTACGGACTGAGCCAGCCAGGTGCCCCACAACACTTGCACTTTAATCAGTAAACTCATCTGCTTCTAAGCTACTTGAGGACAGGGAGGGACCTTAAGTGCCTTGTAAGCAGTGCCTGGCACATATTAGGCACAAAAATATAACTTTTTGGACTGAATGAATTGGATTGCTTCCATCAAAGGGAAGAGAAAGCTGTTCCCTTTTTCAAAGCAGTCCTTCTGAACCGTGTAGAGTGTTCTCTTTCCTATCTTAAGAGAGCCCTCCACTAATGGGTCCCACCCCCAGCTCACTAGAGGATGTGACCCAAGACTTCAGATGGCATATGCATGGAAACCAGTACTCCTCTCCCCTTAACAAAAAGGTGTGGGTGCAGATGGCTACCAGCTGTGGTACCTCATCCTCTGGAGCTATGCCAGTTTACCCTTTTATACATGGCCCCACCCCTACTGCCTAGACTGTCTGGGTTCCCATTAGTGAGCCTGGTGGCAGCTTTGCCTCTGCCCTTGACCCAGGGAGCCTTGGCCCTTTATATCCCCCACCGTCCAACCAACATCCTCCCCCATTTGCTGAGCTTTCCTGCAGCTGACACAGGGCCAGGGCTCCTGGATCCATCCAGTGCCAGGAAACCTCTTGTACTAATATATAACCACAATGCCCGAAAATTCTAACCTTGAGGATGTCTGTGAGTCATCCACACCTCCCAGGGCTGGCAGCCACACAAGAACACCCAGGGTAGAGGGCTGCTTGGGAGCCGGCAGTCAGCACAGGGGGCACTAGGCCATTTGGAATCCTTCATCTCGTCCCTCCACTTGCCCTTCTTTGCTGTTCCTTGTCTCCACCAGACCTGGCCGTCCAGGCAATGGTCAGTCCAGAGCAGGAAAGAGGAGCTGGGGGTCTTGGGAGGACTTTGGCAGCCCTCATGGACTGCGGCCGCCAGGAAATATTACAAATTGCTTCTGGGCCTTATGACTGTTGCTGGGCTGCAGGCTCTAAGGTGTTTTTCTCCCTCTCAAAAATGACCTGGGCATGAATTTTTTTCAGCCATGTCAACATCTCCGGTTACCCCACCACTCTCTCCTAGATCCCGATGAGCGTATGCCAGTCCCCAGTAAGCAGAGCGGCAACCTCCAACAAGAGGAAGGCATGCTCCGTGTTTACCTTGTTAGCACCTGCCTCTCAGGACAGCCCAGTCTCTTCCTGCTATTTAGGACTTCGCTTCCAGTCACTGTTAAGTGCAGGGGCCAGCACTGTCTAACAAAAATGCAATGCAAACCACATCCGTAATTTTAAATTTCCTAGTAGCCACGTTTAAAAAATGTAAAAAGACACAGGTGGAATGAATTTTAGTAGTATATTTAACTTAACCCAAAGTATCCAAAATATTGTAATTTTAACAGGAAATCAATATAAAAATAATTGAGTTCTTTTACACTCTAAGTTTCATGGGAGGGTATCTTATACGGCTTCAGTTCTTAATATATATATTTATTAAAATTTAATAAAAATGTAAAATGCAGTTCTTAAGTTGCAACGGTCCCATTTCAAGGGCGCAACGGCCACGTGCAGCCGGGGCTGCGGTGCGGGGAGGCGCAGGCGTGGACAGTCGGGAACCGAGTGGTAGCTCAATTCAGCAGGCACGCTTTCGGGCTCTTACTTCAGTATCCCTGTGTATTAACCACATCTTTCCTTTCCTGTATTCTTCTGCTTTGACCCTGGAGGGACTGTCCCTCCCAATTCCCAAAGATAGCAGACGACTAACTCACTTGTAAGTATGTGTTTCACAGACAGTCCCAGCAATCCAGAGTCCACACCCGACCGCCTGTGTGGGGCTCTCGTACCCTGGGGCCACTACCCACCTGCCGTGATCACCTGCCGCCCGCCCAGACAACCGGGGAGTGCCCCAGGGCCCGCTGAAACGATTCTAACTAGACAATTCTAAGCCTGCTCACCCGGCCTTCCTGTTCCTTTTTGTGGAAACCACAAGAAAGGCTCCGGTTCATGTTTCCTCCACCCTCGGCCTCCTGACCAACCCCAGCGCTTCCGGCTGCGGACCCTGCGCGGCGGGGCGTGCTGCCCGTTTCTAACAAACCTGGAGTACATCAAGCTTCTTCCTTCGTGACCATCATTTGCGTGTCTGCATGTCTCACCATTCTGTTTTAAACAAATCCCCGGTACCCCTAAACCACCCTGTTCCTAGGCTCATCTTCCCTTTCAGCCACCTCCTGCCCAACCCTGGCATCCTCCTTCTTAACTTTTCTCTGTTCTGCGAATGAGGTTCCTGCTTGGTGAAGCTCCTATTTCCTGAGCAGGCCCGTCATGTATGGTTGGGCAGGTTGTCTACAGCAACCAGTTAGGGCTGATATCCAGCCGTCACTGGGTTGGCCGGAGGAAGCCCCTTTATGGACTGGCAAAACTGTTCCTCCTTCCCACCATCCCTCCTTCCTAACTCCAACCCTTCACGGAGTCCTTCCTGATATGTTTGCACACCCTGTGCCCCTGAAAGAGAAGGTGGGGTCCTACTTGTGGAGCTGCTTTG